TCCAGAGCCTCCCGGAAAAGTATGTATCTAAATTACGAACCTACATTGTGTAATTTGCTGTAAAAATGCAAAAAAGTAGTGTCCGGATTTACCCTGCTGGTCCGGAATTAGACACTTTGACGGTACAATTTGTATACAATTCGTGCACTGAATCTATACGGCCACATATATTGGGAACGTGTTCTGATAGCCGTATACGGAGTGTATACGAGGTGTACGGTACGGGGCTGTTTTCATGGGTATGTGGATGTTGTGCCAAGGATCATGTTCGAAAACGAATACATTGATGAAAGATGTACGAAACCATAATGATTGGTGAACGTTGCGTCGATGTCGACAGAGCCTCTATTCCTCAACATACCTAGATCGACATACCTAGCTGGCGCCACAACGATTATCGATAGAGCCAAACGGACGAAATTTTCGCCCAAAGGGCTTTACTTTGATGAGTTACCCGTTAACTAGGTAGGCGTTTTTGATTTATTTGACACGTCAATTTTCAACCTAGAGGGCTCAAAATCAATACCGTTCTTGCTTTTTATGCTACAAAGCTACGCTAAAAATTCCAGGTACCTAGCTCAACCCGTTCTCGAGTAATCGTGTTTACAGACTAGGTAGATGTACGCCAGACCACGTCTCGCGTAACAGGCTTCGCAATATCTCACGAAACATTGTTACGATGCGACGCGCCTAGCATACATCTACCTAAGCCTGATCGATCTGACACCCGAGTCGGTCAGAGGCCACAGTCGCAAAAAGGGTATTCTGGAGAAGCGAAGCGCCGGAAACGCGAGGTGAGGATACCGCTGGTTGAATCTCAGCCTCGCGGCCAGTGTTGTGCAAGATACTCCCTAAATGTATCTAGATAATGATACTAGATACTGGTCGATTTTGTATCTAAAGATAAGATAAAGATAGTGCCTCTTGACAGTATCTAGATAAAGATACTGCACAAAGTATCTCAGATACCTTTTTAGATATTCGGCCAAAAACTGTCAGGAAAAATAAAAAACAGAAGGGAAAGTTGAATTATAAATATAAAACTCGGACTGCGTTTAGTTGGCAATGAGGTATTCCAGCGGTTAGAAGAACAAGAAGAAATTCCAATATGGCCGCCGCAGAACATAACAAACCATCAACTGTTTTCTCGAAGCGGCTGCTAGCAGCCTTTTGCGCTCATCGTTACATTGCGTCTATTTGAGTCAAATTTGGTATCATTTTGATCGGAAGAAAGAGGGGAACACATAAAATAATCTTCCGATTCAAGCAACACCAAATTTGACTCCAACAGACGCGAAATAACATTAGGTAGGTTATTGGGGCTCCCGAGCGCGAGCGGCTGCTCGGGAAAACAGTTGATGGTTTGTTATGTTCTGCGGCGGCCATATTGGAATTTCCTCTTGTTCTTCTAACCGCTGGAATACCTCATAGGGTATTCCGCTGCAAGCATACCGGAACCTAAAGAAGAAAAGCATGACTACCCGATCTGTTTCCTCCTGAACGCTGATTAGTCAACGATGACCTTCGTATGCCGGTCAGCCAATGAGCGCGCAGAGGGAAGCAGATCGAGCAGTCATACGTTTCTTCTTTAGGTTCCGGTTCGCTTGCAGCGGAATACCCTATTGCAATATGTCAGGGAATCATAACTGTATCATCCTTAAATGGCTACATTACCCTCGAAACAAGGCAGTAACAGTAAAATATTTTAAGGCTTTCAAATTTAGTTGACGTTCAAAATTGTAACGAAACAATATAACGATGGTTACATCGTTACAGACGTCGGTAACGGTATCGCGTCACGTAACTGCTCGCGGGGAAAGTAACGCCTTACAATAATGCCGTTACATCGTCATGTAAAGGCCGTATCACACGAGAGGTTGCCGTTGGCGTTGCGATTGCGATTGCCGTTGCCGCTGCCGTCTCGACCAATCAGAGCGCAGCAGCCGACGTTGGCGATTGCGGTGGCAAGGATAGCCGCCCGGCTATTTTTCCCAATCGCAACAGCAAACGCAGCCAATCACAGCTCTGCTTGG